CTCCTAGATCTGAAAGTCCGTGTCTCTCCCTCTATCTGGGAAGTTTTCTATTATTATTTCATTGAACAGTTTTTCCATGCCTTTTCCTTTCTCCTCCCCTTCTGGAACACTCTTGATTCAAATGTTTGTATGCTTAAGTTTGTCTGCTAGCTCTCTTGGATTTTCTTCATTTTTTAAAAATTCTTTTTTCCTTTTTTTTGTCCACCTGGGTTATTTTAAAAAGACTATCTTCAAGATCAGAAATTCTTTCTTCTGCTTGTTCTAGCCTGCTGCTTAAGCTATTGGTTGTGTTTTTTATTTCATTGAGTGAATCTTTCAGTTCCATGAGTTCTGCTACATTCTTTTTTAAGGTATTAGTCTCTGTAAATTTCCTCCTTCATATCCTGGATTTTTTTTCCCCCCCATTTCACTGTGTTGTCTAACTGAGTCTTCTCATATCTTAGTGAGTTTTGTTAAGATTCCCTTTCAGTCATTTCAAGGGTTTCCTGCTCTATAAGGTCTGGTATTTGAGAATTACTATATTCTTATGGTGGTGTCATATTTTCTTGGGTTTTTGTATTTCTGTATCTCTGTGATGATGTCTGTCATCTGGTACAGCAGTTGCTTCTTTTATTACTCTAGAGTGGGCTTTGAGGAGAAAGATGTCCTCTTCTTTTTCTGGTCTCTGCTGATGACTCTCCTTGTATCAGTGCAGTTGAGTGTTCAGTGGGCCACCCGTGCAGAATGTTTTTGGCATGCTCTCTTGTCTGCTTTTGGGTGGGGGGGTACTGCCCTCAGCTCCTTGCCTAGGATCCTGGGCATGCTCTCTTGCCTGCATCTGGGCGGAAGGGGCTGCAGCCCTTGGCTCCTTGCTTAGGACCCCAGGCATGCTCTCTTGCCTACTTCCAGGTGGAAGGGGCTGTGGCCATTGGCTCCTTGCCTAAGACCCTGGGTGTGCTCTCTTGCCTGCTTCTGGGTGGAGGGGGCTGTGGCCCCCAGCCCCTTGCCGAGGACCCTGGACATGCTCTCTTGCCTACTTCAAGTTTAACTTAAAAAAAAGACATTTTAATAGTCAGTGAATTCCCCCAAACGGCCCACACAGGTCAAGTCCCTGGATTTATCACTGAGATGGTGCAGGGAGGTGAAGTGACTTACCCAAAGAAAATGGAAAATAATGGAAAATGGTCGAGCTGGAACTGAAGCCCGTGGCTCCAGCTGCCAGACCAATGTTCATCTCACTGTAGCACACTGCCCCTCCATGTAAACTGGCTGCTAAGGGCCAAACTTCACTCAGAGCAACTACACTGCCTTCAGCTTCATTTGGCCTGGCACAAACGCTTGACCTCCTAATTCAAAGATTAAAAATGTTAAACACACTTGAGTGTGGTCTTTGAATAAAAACAAGTTTGGAGAAAGCTTGGACTAGACGATCTTGCAGCGCTCTGCACCAGGAACTATTTTCATCAGCCAAGTGGCTAGAAATGATGTCTGGCCAAGCACAAGAAAGAATACTGCAATGTTTTTCTTATATATTTTAGGATGTTTTTGTGAGAAGTGTGGCCACATTCACTACAAATGGATGGTAAATTAAACCTTCCTTGTCTTAGGGTAAATAGCTCCAAAATATGAGGTTTTATTGGTAAACAGTGTCAGCATTTTCTAAGTAGATTTTTTTCCCTAATATAGAACAAAGACATGTGCATTCAGCCTGAATACATTAACCATTGATTGTTCCAAATGCTGACCTCCAATAGGAGACAATGTGCTGGTATTAGATGTAGAAGAGGTAAAATGAGCAATTCTATAACTTAATGTGAAATCGAATTTCTTCTTGACTTAACAGTTACACATAGGAGAGAGAAAAAAATAAACCCTCATATCCAATAATGCTACTCTATTGTAGTAATCCCTTAACAATGAAGTCATAAAGGAGGTCTTTATCACTTATCGGAGGAAAAGATTTGCTGCCAGACCCTAATATTATTTTGTAAACATACATCACGCTTTCTCAAAGTTGAAAGCCACTCTGTGCTAGATAGAAAGCACATTTATGCTGGGCTTCCCATATATTCAGTGGGTAGAGATTATTAAAACACAAAGTCATTAGTGGTCAAGTAACTCATTTCCTTGGTAATGATTAGCCAGTCATTGATTCAGAGGCATTAATTCAAAGGCATGTAATCAGCCCCCTCTGTGTGAGTCACATGAAAATTCTGTTGTCTGAATTTAAAAAGCAAGTCTTGATAGGCAAGAGATTTTTCAATGAACACTTACTACAATGTACCACGCCAAGAATTATGCGGGAAACCAAGAAATACATGATGCAGGATGATGCCATTTTTGTTAAAATTAAAAACAATAGGAAAGCACACATACTCATATAGACATGTCTGTATGCAGTTAAATTGAAAGATATACACCAAGAGATTAGTAAGAACTAACCTAAGTGATGGGATGACAGGTGAGTTTAGTGTTCTCCCTTTTGCTTGACTGTATTTGATAAGCCATGTTAAATGAACATGTATTGCTTTAAAGGATTTGTTAAATCTTGGTTTTTTGAAGAAAATATACAAGATGCAGTCCCTGCCCAAGGAGCTTCTCATGTTTCAGGAGTAAACAGTCTTCATGGGGAGGAGTGAGGCTGACTGGGTTGAGGGTGGACTGACTACTGGTAACTCTTGACATCGTGTTTTTATTTTCTCACCCAGCTTATCAAAAACCACATTTCCACGTCAATAAGGCAATAAATTGATCCCAAGTTCCAAGAACATTCTAACAAAAAATGTGTTGAATGTTCAACTACATTCAATGGAAATTAAGACTTTTATGAGCTTGTAAATGCACTATTTAAAACAGTTTCTAAGGTAAAATGCACATGAATTTCCAATAAGCAACTTTACAATTCAATGTTTGGAAAATAACTGGGAAATATGGGAAGAACTTATACACCTGCCTTAGCATATGGTAATACTAACGAATGCTTACTGTGTACTTACTGCAGTCATTATTCCATCTCACCCTACAACAGCCACATGTGGGAGATTTTATTATCACTCCCATTTTACAGATGAGGAAACTAAGGCACACAAATCACAAAGCCTATTAAGGTCACCAAATCCATGCAGAGTCAGGTTTGAACCCAGGTGGTCCAGATCCACCTCATTTTTTTTCTTTTTAGTGGGTCATGTGCCAGTCTCCATGTGTTATGGGTCTTGCACATAAAAATAATTTAAAAATTTTAATGGTGATAAGTCCAGATAAAGTAAGCACATTTCAAGTTTTTGACAAAATAAAATAAAAACTTACAACTGAACACAACTGCTTCCATACAGTTAAATTAAAGGAAGCCCTGCACAGGTATCTAGAGCAGGAGTCAGCAAATTTTTTCTGTAAAGGGCCAGAAAGTAATTATTTGAGCCTTCACAGGTCAGATAGTCTTTCATGCCATTGTAGCATGAAAACAGCTACAGACAATAAGTAAATGAATGAACATGGATTTGTTCCAATGCAACTTTAGTTACAAAAATAGCACTGGGCAGGATTTTGTCTGCAGGCTGTAGGTTGCCACCCCCATCAAGATGCTATTACATTAATAATGATGTAATATTTCAAAGTTGCTAAGAGAGTTGATTTTAAATGCCTGTACCACACACACAAAAATAAATAATTAGCTTGACTTTATCATTCTATAATGTGGGCATATATCAAAACATCACATTGTAGCCCATAAATATATACAATTATTATCTATCAATTAAAAATAAAATAAAAATTTGGGGGAGGAAGGGAAAAAATAAAATAAAATAAAAATTTTAAGTGATGCTATTATAATGTAGCTAACAAATGAAAATATATCTGTTAACCTTTAAAAGCAGGGGTTTAGTAATTTAACTCTGAAAATATTTGGTAAAAAAGAAATAGCACAGTATTAGAATCGATCAAGTGCCTTAGAATAATGCTGTTAATTAGTATTGCTGGATAAATACCTGATGAGGTGAACCTCTCTCTCCCACTCACCAGAGATGGGGTAGGCAATCCCTGCAAATGTATTGTTGCACAGGTTTGGGGTGCTTATAACTAACAGTCAAACAAGCAGTGTAAATAATAGAAAGAAGCCCCTGTTATGAAAACTGTTCCTCCCCAAACTTTCTGGGTTAAAATCTAAAATGTACGTTATATAGGTAGCAGAGACTCTACTTTTACTACATCATGTATGACACCATACCTTCAGAAGTCACCACCAGCATCAAAGTTAAACTTTCTGATACTATTATACAGATTTTTACACAGATCTTTGCATGTATATAACTAACTCTTAGACTAATTCCACTAACACATCTTTATATCTGAACCAAACAAAACTCCCGCATCCTGAAGGAACTTAAATAAATATCATAGTTTTATGTTCATAATGAAGTCAACACACATTTGAATCAAATTTCCACTCTGCATTATAAAAATAGCATCTGGAAAGCTAAAATTGAAACATAAGAACAATTCAAAAATGTCAGGCATTTTCAATAGTTGATTTTCACTTCTCATGCTTTGTTTAGTAAACATACAGATGCAGACAAACTGATGAAATTGTGCTTTTTTTTTTGCACGAGGCAATCTTTTTCAAACCTCTTAAGTTTGGACCTACATGTCTCTGCTTTGCAATCCAGAAGCATTATCGATAGAACTCTGCAAACCAGGACTTTGTCTAGGAACAGCAGAGGTTTCAGACACCACGTGTGTGGCTAGACCACGTCAAAAGGACGGTACCACAGATAAAACTACCAACTGCATCTTGACTTTGTGAAATGCCAGGAAATAATTTTGCATCATTTTTGACCTTTGCACAGCCTGAACCAAATGACAAAAATATATAAAACCTCATTCTGCTACAGCTAAAATGATGTGAGCACTTAAAGATGGTTCCGACTTTCAGACGGCTCTTCTTACACTAGGAATAAAGCCACGTTTTACTGCAGATATTGTGACGTTGCTTAGAAGTGGCTAAAGAAACCAATAAAGGATACAAAAATGTAGTCATCCATGAACCTCTTCTTCAGATTCTCCACGATGGAGTTCTCTGTGATCTTGGAGAGCAGCACCATGTCATCCACGCCACTATGCTTGACATTGTGGCTCTGCCAGTGGTACCGGTAGGCACCTTTGCTTCCCTGGGAACAGAAAATACACAATTATTAGCAGGGTTTATCTTCTCCTGGAGTAAAAAAAAAAAAAAAAATGCTGCCAATTTCCCAAATATTCCTCAATATAATGGAGAGAATGAGCAGTGCAAACAGAGAACGATTTTGTACCAATAAGATGTGGATTCAAGTTCCAGCTTTGCCACCTGCAGACTAAGTGGGGGGAAAGTCACCTAAGCTCACTGGGTCACTGAAGCTTCTCCTTTGTCATTTGAAAAATGGCAGAAATAAGACCCACTTCATAGAGCTGTTGTTTTGTTTAAAACATCATTTATTTAATCCTTAAAGTGCCAAATGGCGTCTGGAATATAGCACAAGATGTAATCGATGGTCTCTCTCTGATAACTCCTTCCTTCATCCTTATTGTTTTGTCATATTTCTCAGTGAAAATAAGCAACGAAATAGAACCTTTCCAGGCTTGTTTTACGAATTATATACCCAGAGGTGGAAAGAATATGTATCACACAATGGCGAGGTCGTATTCTCATAATTTCTCAAGTCATCTACATTACTGTCCTTCCGTAAACTTATCACCGTCAATGTAATATTGGCCTTCCACATTCAGAGCTACATACTGATGACGGATCACGGCAGTACGAGCAAGAAAGTGGACAGGAGGGACTGAACATGATCACAGGACTACTCTGGACAGGAGGACCTCACTCAGCCCCACGGCCTCCTTGGATGAGGGAGCCTCGGCCCTGTCTATTTATGGGATTTTCAGCTTAACAGCAGGGGTGGGCTCTGAACACTCTGTGGATTGCAGGGCTTCCTCATTTGTTCAGCTATATGTCAAGTCTTGGGGCTGGGGTGGATGGACGCCCCAGGGGTGGCTGCACTTGGGGAGCTCACAGTCCATTGAAAGAGACCTAGATAATGACAGGGCAACGTGATTTATGTGTCAACAACAGTCGAAACACAAACACTCGTGAAATGGGTGTTCCAGGAGTGGGGAGGAGACTCCTTTGTCCTGGGAGAGGCAGAAGAAATGACTTCCTAGAGGAGCCATTTGAAATAGATCTAAAATATCTTGAATTTGCCAGGGGAGATGAAAGGGGGAAGGACATTCATTATAGTCTATGTTCAGTGGGCGAAAACGCTAATACACTGAAGTCATGGCAAATATCACATGACAAGATATTGGAAGACGTTCCCTCACCTTCAAGCACTGCATGCATCCTACTGGAAGTGCCACACTCTGGGGGAAGTGTTGTGGCACTAGACTGAGTGAGACTCAGCTCCTGTCCCACCCGGGGAGTTCACTACTTGGGGGCATTTGGACAAAAGAGAGGAAAACTCTGAATAAGGGTTTCTAGAAAGGGCAACCACTCAGACACCAAAACTAGGATGAGAAGAGAAAACAGGATGCTCTGAGAGAAAGGGGAGGTGCAACAAAACAAAATGAAAGCCACATTAAACTTCAATTTAAAAGTTTGTTAGGTTGTTTAATGTTTTCTCTGTGGAAGACACGGGACCTATGCTAAGAGGCTTTGAGAAAAGCAACCTTTAAAAATCTGCCAAGAAGGGGCCACCGTAGGGAAAGTGTGCCAGTGCCACAGGCTCAAGCTTTGGAAAGGGGTTCTGAAAGATTTGCCACCCATGCCGTCTTGCAGAGGGAAACTGTCTATATGATATATTTGGCTTTCTCAGAACCACATGCAGCATCACTTCTACAAAATTACCTCAGACCTCACCACTCCCTCTTCCTCTTGTGGCAAAGCAGAAAGAGAGAAAAAGCATCAGCCACAGTGTGACTCACTGGATTTCCGTCGAGTGCCCAGGGTCTATTTCCAGACGGATAAAAGATTGCTGGTGACTCTTCCCTCCTCACCTGCCCTTCTTTTCCAGTTTTCTGGGCACCCACAAAAGCTACTCTGCAGAGCCCTGTTGTACTGGGGACTAACTGCTGTTAGGAGGAGGAGGAAATAGCATCTGGGATGGGACAGACAGAATGCGTCACTCTGCAGTGACACAGAGGACAGCCAGATTGGACGGCGAGACCGACGTGGGTTACCTTGAGAAGGCACTTTCTGTGGATCGGTACAAACGTACACACTATGACACAGAGCTCTTCTGTTTCTTGTCCTCTGCAGAAGTTAAATAACCACTTACTAATAGCCCTTCTGCTTTGTTCCATGGTGCTTACATTTTTCAAAGAGAAAATAACATTTTTGCCCTCTTTTGAGTCGGTGGACATCTACTGGTTGGTTAGTTGGTTGGTTTTTGATACCGACAAACAAATCTACACCTCCTCCCCCACCCCCCACTAAAAATGGTAACATTTTAAACACGTAGGGTACTCAGTGAAGCACTTCATTTTCCAGCAGCCCGTGGAGAGTGAGGCACCGCTGCACAAAGGGAGAGATGTAGCGGCTGGCGTGCCAGCTAAAAAGTGAAAATAGTGATGACAATAATGAAAAGTTACTCTCAGCCCTGACAGTTATTACAAATCAGAAGGGAGAAATTTCCACTAGATCCGGACAGAGAGCAGACTTTCTTGGACCCACACTTAATTTCTAATGATGATTCAGTTCATTAAAAAGCAATTGATTCACATGCAAGTTCTAGAAAGTGGGGCACGCCCCTATCCGCATAGGGCCTGGTTTGTTGCACATGTGGAGGAGGTGGCACCAAGACTCAGCAGTCTCTTAGGAGGAGGAAGAGCCTGGGGGCCAGGAACCTCAGCAGGCTGAGTCCCTGACTGATTTCATTGAAAGGTGGAGCCTCACTTTCCCATGTGTGTTTTCCAGGGTGGGGACTAGGAGGAGCAAAGGTGAGTCAGCGCACACAGGCAGGATTATTCTCCCCTGAAAGTCGACCTTCGCTCCCAGGAGAGACAGCCCCAGTGGAGTTCCTGCCCCTACAGCAGCGATTCTGCAAATGCTCTCACTAGTGTCCCAGGGAGCATTTTTCTTCTCCAATTCATCCAGGAGAAAGGAGGAGTTAACTAAGGTACTGGGTAGCTACAGTCTTCAAATGCCCTTCAGATGCCCAGAAAAGGGAGGTCGTTAAATGTGCCAGGTAAACACAACAGGCCCAGTGTTGGGCAAGGCCTAGGGCGGGGTGACCGGGGTAGCTACAGTCTTCAAATGCCCTTCAGATGCCCAGAAAAGGGAGGTCGTTAAATGTGCCGGGTAAACACAACAGGCCCAGTGTTGGGCAAGGCCTAGGGCAGGGTGACCACTCATACTCATACACGCTTCTAGAAAGAGTATACTGCACAGTATTTTTAGGCAGCAATTTGGAAATAGGTGTCAAAATTTTAGACACCGAGACTAATATATATACAGATAGTTAACTAAATAAAATTAAATTCACATTCTCTTTGACCCAGCAATTATATTTTTAGGAATTCACCTCAAGATATACCTCAAAAGGATGCCAGGACAGATGTGCGAGGGTGTTCACCATAGCAAAGTTAGTAGTAGGGAAAACAAGAATCATCATCAGGGGATTGATTAGAATATGTCACCCTCTGCAAAGGAGCACTATGCAGTCATTGAAGGAACGTGGGTGTGCTGCTGATATGGAAAGATCTTGGAGATACACTGTTTCATGAAAAAAAAGCAGTCAGTCTGTGGAAGAAATATAGAATGACTGCATTTATATACAATTTTAAAAAGGCATGTGTGTTATAATTGTTTTGTTGAAAGATATACAAGGTACCTTTGGGGAAAAGGCCTGGGGTTTTGGGAAAAGGGTGATGTTTACTTTCCACTTTATACTTTTGTCTACAGTTTACATTTTTAAACCATATGCATGTGTTAGCAAATTTTAAAAATAAATAGATCATTAAAAACAATGTCAATACAAGAAAGCATTTTCTGGAGTGGTGTTGGGTACTGACCAGGCTCTCTAAGACAAAAGCTGGGGCCGTCATTCTGACACTGGATTCTGTGCTGCTTCCAGGCTTGAGAGGCGATTGGAAAATGTTGTCTAGACAACAAGATAGTATCAGATCTGGGACACTTAGCTAGTCCATGGGCACAATAGGACAGCAGATCTGATTTCCAGAAAACCTGGGACTAGAACGCCCCCAATGTTATAAGTGCATCGCCCTGAAGGGCAGACAAGCCATATTTTTATTGTGGACTATAGACAACGGGTAACACTCTGGTCTGCACTTGAACTGAGCTTGTTTTTTTAATGGGATTTTTCTGTCACAGTGAGTCATAACAGGAAAGGAACACAACTACCTGTTAGACTTTAATCTTTTAATTGACATTCTGGAATTCTACCTCTTGCATTTCTGCTGTTTGACTGGAATGAAACATGTACTTCTATTACAAATGATGGAAAATCAACCGTAAGTATTTATCTCTCTACTGTGTACAAGGCACTATAAACCAGCATTGGGCTTGCAATGTATTTTGACTTTATGAAATTTAAGCCCCCCAATATTCTGGTGATGTGAACATGTATCTCTGAAGCAAGCATGCGTGTGCTGGACTGCACTGGACACAGTATAAGGAAGAAGTGTTTCTGAAAGAGTCGGGGGCTGGAGGCAGGGCAGTCAGTAGCCAACAAACCACCCCCTTCAACCGTGGGGTAATTGGNAAAAAGTGAAAATAGTGATGACAATAATGAAAAGTTACTCTCAGCCCTGACAGTTATTACAAATCAGAAGGGAGAAATTTCCACTAGATCCGGACAGAGAGCAGACTTTCTTGGACCCACACTTAATTTCTAATGATGATTCAGTTCATTAAAAAGCAATTGATTCACATGCAAGTTCTAGAAAGTGGGGCACGCCCCTATCCGCATAGGGCCTGGTTTGTTGCACATGTGGAGGAGGTGGCACCAAGACTCAGCAGTCTCTTAGGAGGAGGAAGAGCCTGGGGGCCAGGAACCTCAGCAGGCTGAGTCCCTGACTGATTTCATTGAAAGGTGGAGCCTCACTTTCCCATGTGTGTTTTCCAGGGTGGGGACTAGGAGGAGCAAAGGTGAGTCAGCGCACACAGGCAGGATTA